TTAGTCGAAGACAGTTATCATGATGGTTGGTGGCGTGCGGTTTTGATGAACCGTACATTGACGTTACAGGTGGACCTAGCCTTTTCATACCGCGGTGAGGAGCGTGGTCGAGGACATCTGTTATAAGCGCTTTTCCCACCTGTTTTTCACACTTATTGACCTCCAGTGGGAGATGAGATGGGTAAAGAAATTTTGTACGCTGAAACTTCCCTTGTGAGGGTTATCGAGGGCCCTGATCATGGGCATATCATCCATGTTTAGCATTGCGGACATTGACGGCACCTAGAGCAACTTGTCATACACATCTGTTCTCCGAATTCGGTGTGAACCTCTGTTAATATGATGTTTTGGAAGCAATAGTTTTCCCTGGACTCTCTCGCTGATAGCATGTAAGCCTGAACTGGGAGTTGTTTGGACTCCGAGCAGGTTAACAAACACATAAATTGGTAAAAGGTGAAGTGTGTCAGATAACAGGGTGTGGCTTACTCTTTTCAGAGTCTCTCCTATCCAAAAGCTGGCCCTCACTGCGATCTAGCGATTGTGGAAGGCGAAGAATGGCGCAACTCGGCCCGCCGGCCAAAAATGGTATATCATATTCTTGAATTAATAACTCATAACAGAACTACTTGAAGTCGAAGAAAATTAGATCCATATCTAACGGGGGTTTGAAATAGGGTAATAGTGCCAAAAGCTTTATCACTCGACCTACTGGTGGTACTGTTTACTATGGCTTGCAAGTCAGGTCTTTGATAAGTACATTTCTGTTCAGACTGATCTCACGCAGAAGTTGCATTCAAACGTAGCACTTTTCTAGTTCAGACCATTTTTATTCCAGATTACAGATGGTTTGGATGCCCATCTTGAAGAACAGTTTGACGGCACAGGCGGTGAGTGACCCATGTTTATTAAGTCAACAAGAACAGCTCAAAAGGAACTCATTCAAACAAAAGAACTAGTTCATCCGGAAATAAGACCATGTACCATCCCTCGTGATTGGCAAATTGACCTGCGTGAAACTTTCCAATCATTCAAAAGCGCCAACCGGCAGAGGTCGTTAGTGAAACCGCTAGCCTTTGTTCTCTTGCATAGACCCCCCTGGAGGATCATCCTATAGTGGTCCCTGCAGGATTAAACCCCCCAAAAAGCCGATACAGTGCGCTTGAGGCTCTGCAAAGTAAAGCTGCCTCGGAGCTGGCAGGATACTTTTTCTCTATCAGGCTGTTTTGTCTGCACGATCTCATCTTGGCGCTCTTCTCGCCTCATAAACTCTCGGGTACTCCCAGGAGCCCATCGGCGCGCGGCAAGAAGGCTCAAAGTGAGCGGACGAGTCCCGCGCGCTGGGTTCCGCCGTCAAGTATAAAACGCGTCCATTGTTTCGTCTATACATGAACATCACCGCTGCAAACTGTCGACGCCTTTGCTTGCGCGCGACGGAATACCGCTTACGCAGCCTCAACGCGAAAGGTATGTTGGCCTTAACCCCTAAAGCGTTTCGACGGATTCTTCTCCTTTCTCTCTTTACTGACGGCCTATTTTGCACCAAGACATTCGCACTCGTGTACAAGAGCCACACCGATGTAATCATGGGGGGATGCCTTTGACCCCTGATATAATATTACACCAATGCTTTTGCTCAGATGTGGCACAACCGAAAAAGATAGCAAAAGATGGGGTTGGTTCAACCAGAGTAAACAAAGGAAGGGACCCTACGCATGAAAGGAACCTTTTATAGTATAGAATTGACTGTAGTCGCGAACTATGAACACGGTTCTAGTTGTGGATTCGCCCATCCCACCGTATAATGGCGCATGCGTATTTCTCTTCTCTGCTAGCGAATACATTTTCTGTTCTCGCATAAATGTATTCTTAATGCCACCACTATATTAGCTCGACACCAACTGCAACGAATCATAGCCGTTCGCTCACCATTACAAAAGAGAAAAGTAGCAAGAAAGAAAGCCACAGGAGATTGGCTAGCGCAAAATATACGATTCAATATCGTAAAGACTAAGTGAAAATCGGAGATCGAGTGAATCTTGAGCGGTTAACGTCAAACTTATGTTCAGTATGATCCGGAGCCAATCTTCTCTGATGCCTTTCGAGAACGTTTTCGTACTACTGCACCGCTCCATGTGCGAATACCGACCTACGTCAGAAAGGAATTAGGTTTCTCGACGCATCGTGTTTATTGGTGATTTCAACGATACAACTGATGAGTTCTCTGTTTTCTTATGGTGGCATTCCGACACACCTCAACTCCATCTTTATAGTATATATTGTTGCTCGTGAGCGTTGGGGAAATTGCACATCGCAATGGCCTCCTGGATTCAGCAGTGCTCTACCGTACTCAGCCGTGAACTGTGACTCGAGATGCAAAGCCGATTATTTCTATTCGAAATGCGGATGCAGCCCGTTCACATACGACATCGGATAATGGTAACATTACCTATTGTAGTCTGTATAAAACATGTTCACATATTGGTAACAAGGAACGATTGTGTGGAGCGTTCACTGGGTGCAGTGGGACCTCTGGGATGATGGTAAGAAAATAGCAGTTGTTGGGTTTTCACGGGTGGAACATCGGGGGTCTCTGACTGTGTGGTAAAAGGAGGATTACGATAAGTGTATGGTGTGCCGCGTATGAGTACACAGACATCAGTAATATTAGTAGCCAGGGTCGGAAGGAAGGAAGATGGGGTCTTTTCGTGGCCTAAGGGTTGGTAGTTGCAGCACACTGACAAGGGAATCTTTCACGGCCATGGAGCATTTTCCAAAACAGCTATCTGAGTGTTGTAGAAGCCCATGTGAGGAACACAGAACCATGGTTCATCTTCCCAGAATGTCAAAACAGCGGGAAGAAATGGTCCAAAGTTCGATCCTCCGTGACGACAAATTTTTGCATTTATGTTGGCGCTTCCAAATTGCCGCAGTACACGACGATGGCGCCATTTGGCGGCAATCTGGGGCGCCAAACTATATTGCAAAAATTAGTCATCACCGGGGATCGAACTCTGGACCATTTCTTCACCACTGTTTGACATTCCTGGAGGCGTTCAGGAAAAATGGATCATGGTTCTGTGTTCCTCGCATGAGCCTCTACAACATGCAGAAACCATTTCGAAAAAGCGCTCCATGTCCTGAAAGACCCCCTTGTGAGGCCAAGGTGATCTTTTCAATGCTCCGCCTCAATATGTGCCTCGATCACGTGTATTGCCAGCAGCAGCACCGTTCAATCATAATTTTGGAAGAGTTTCCACTTCGAGTGACCGTATTCTATGAGGTTTTTGTGTAATGCGTTATCAGTCAAAGAGTAGTGTTTGATGGTAAGATGGCGGCCATGGGGTTAACGCATGCGAACGACCCTTTTCTTGCTTTCTGGTTCCTCATTAAGGGAATTTAACAAGTTAGCAAAACACTCATATTTTCCTTGAACGAATTCTCTATGTAGCTCCCGCACTCCACTCTGAAACCTTCCCAAAGCTATGGTAATTTCTAGCTTCAGCACTCTCTCACTAAAGATCGTTCAGTGGCAGCCCAGCACACCTAGCGTGCTCAAACAAACTTAAACCTATAGCCTTGTTTTTTAGTGTATCCTATGTGTTCCCCGTTCTACACTGTTCGATGTATCGATGATCACATAAGAAAAACAGTCAACGGTAAGCATTCATTTGTAAATTGCGCTCTTCGTTGGATGATAGTAGCCTAATCGTGGGTTCGTAATTGCCTCAATGATTATGTTAAACCGTAGCCGTGGCAAAACCTTTGAAAATTTGGAGGCAATAATCTATTGAATAGATAAAAGGGATGGGATTATTATTTACCAGTTCAAGCAATTTATTTATTTGTTACGCCCACTAAAGAATACTGACTGGGCTCGCCAAAATCAGTATGAGGCGTGGGAAAATCATGCAACAGCAGGCATAAGGCGTGAAAAAAAAAAACACGGAATAATGTTAGCAGAAAAATTCTTGAAATTGTTTTTCAAGATTAGCACAATGATGATTGAATATGAATCAAATAAGTCGGCAGTGACCCTTATCAAACTAACGAAAAAGATGTTGGGACGAGAAGAAAGAAAGACCCGAGGGAATTTCAAATATGCCTTCAAGCCAACGGTTCGTATTCGGGTTTGAACGGTAAAAAAGGGAAGAGGCTTGAGTGTGGGGATAATTTAATGAAGAAGAAATAATGTAGTTTGGCTCAGACACTTATGAGGGTCATATCGGGAATCCAAGGCTGTTAACCTCTACTTGAGAGAACCTTGAAAAAAGTTATATAGGCACTGACCGCCGCATTGTATGGTTGGTTCGCTTCGCGATTACTCACTGCCATCAGTCGGCTAGATGGCCCCTCAGCATGTGCGTAGTATAGGATGCTTGTCGGAATTCCGAGAACACGAGCTATACGACATCTCGTGGGAATAGACGATACTAAAACTTGACAGTTGATTCTTATTATGCGCACGCCTTTCGAACATCGCAGGTGCTGCATCGCTCACGCATATTGCTCGTCATTATCTAGGACTTTCCGATAGTGAGAATTATTACCGCGCCCTTATCTGTAAACAGGTAGATTAGTGGATAGCGTGTTCTGTTTGTGTTTGGTGGGCGATAGAGAGAGAGAGAAAAAAAGTATGCAGACATCTTTTGCTAATCATTTGTCGAACTAGGGGTGTTTCCAGAATTTACACCTTTTTTTCATGCTGTACTCGAGCTCTCATTCCGAAGAGGAGATAGACCGATTTCCGTCTTAGAATGACTTCTTTGAAAATTCTGACTCTTTTGAAAAATTCACTAAGAGGCAATTTGTAGAGATAGCTTTCCACTGCTCTTCTAGTTGTCATTTTATGTAGTAGATCATAGTGGGAAACGAAAAAAAAAAAACCACAAAAAACAATGTTAATATTTTCATCCCGGCAATTAATTCGCATGATTTTATGTTAGTGACCAGTTTAAAATAGGGAGAATTTGGTCATGTTCAGTGATATTGGACGCCTTTAGGTGTCGACTACTACGACATTCCCAAATGCAACCTATGTGAAGTCGAATGTGAGTATCGTTTACCATGCGTATAACTCTTACGGTCAAGGCTTCAGTAATGGTGCTTTGTCATGGCTACAAAAGAAGAACAAGTCGTGGACTAAGGCGCATATGAAGTACGTCCAACCCTTACTCACTCGCTTACTTGCAAATTGAGATTACAACGATTATTCGAGAAGAGAAATGTAGGTAATTTATAAAGAGTAGGTGGAGTTTCTAGGTCTGTGTTATCCTGGCATGTCACCTCAACGGAAGTTATTGAAGAGTGAAGTAGAGTATTGCCAGCTTTGGTGAAACTTGAAAGACTGTACCCTCGGTGAAGTTGATTCGAAAATCGTTGTGTCAGTGCTTTATGTAAGAGCAGTTATCGAGAGTCCTGGGAACGTGGGGGCGGGGGGGGCGTTGTAGAAGGAAAACGTTTACACGAATCTTTCGCAAATGTTTGATCAAAAATATCATTAGCGTCTGAAGTGTTGACATTATGATAATCGTAAGGGAGGATGGGTTTGGGCGAATTTATTCCTTGAACCTGTTTGCGTTATTTCATTCCTTTATAGTGTATACTTTATAATTTCATATATAATTTATTATCATCTCGATCTATTCATATGTATGTATTACTTTGCTCAATGTCTTGAACGCTGTGGAATCTTTCAGGTCGAATTTCCTTGCGATTAATGTATTTTTCCGAGATATGTCATATACCGAATATGTTCAACTGCAAGGGACGTCGCTCACAGAGACTCTCAGTAGGTTACTACATTTTTTTACTTGCGTATGTGATGCAATATAACCGTGTGCTCCTTGATCTTTTTTCCATTGTTAGTGGTAATCTCGCGGAATAAGAATTGTAATCGAATACGACATCTTGATCCCTGTCGCGAAAGTCGTCTGACGAGGGCAGACGCCACAAATTAGAGAGGGCACTTATTCGTTGAGAAGGGAAAGAACTTTGATATTGATGAGACCAGAGTAGTTGATCAAGATACGGTCCAGATTACGTATTTTAGTTGGAAGCCGTCGGTCCGTGTTGGGCAGATATTATTTTTGTAAGGCGTAGGTAGAAACCAGAAATGCTGGCAATCACTGCAATGCGGACTTAGGCCACGAGAAGGTCTGTCGCTATAGGAGTGAGCCTTGCCTTAAAGGTCATAAGTCGGTCAGACCACCTTAGTTGAGCCTTTACGTGAGCTAGAAACGCTATTGACGCAGGGTAGGAGATCGTCATTCCCTACTTCGAAAACCGTTATTTAGACGCTAGGCGCTAAGAACTTTGACACGCTCCACCTGCTGCGACACGCTCCGCCCACCGCTCGATATCTTGACTGCGTCGGAATGTTGATCTGCTATGCTCTCTCTACTTAGACTTCTCTAGCGCTCTCCGCGCTCACATTATCTCTCATCTCCCTGCCGGCCTTTTGAACTTCTCCGCACCGTAGAGGAAATGGCTCGTATTTCCTAAGCATTTCACGATTTCTTTTTCTCTTTTCTGCACTGGCGGTCCACTACCTACCCCTACTTTCACATTTAAGTGGAATTACCTCATAATTCAATCCTGAATCTTGCCTTTAAATGCGCAACCCGTGTATAGGAATGCTCACCTGTTCCATCCCCGATTGTGGTAGTCAGGTGGAAAAGCGTTTATGTCGTAAGTCCTCTGCGGCTTCGAAGTGGGAGAGAAAGGCGCCAGATCTGCTCAATCCGACGTCGACCGGACTGACTTGACCACCAACTCCACTTTGCGCTAACGCACCATTGGACAAGTGCCGGCCGTAGTTCCGCAGCTTAGCTTGCACTTGCCATTGGCCATAGGAAATGGCAGCAGGCGATCGTGAAACTTAGTCCGCTAACGCCCCTTGTCTCGCCCTTCCGAGTTAGACACGGCTACAAGAGGACTAGGTGCCTGAGCGGTAAGTAATTAGGGCTCTTCCAAATTGCGTGACTTCGGCGGGCCCTTCCTTGAAACATCATTCGACCTCTTACTCATACCTATACTTATAGATCTTTCTCGGCCTAGGCTCCGGAACCGCGCTCCTCCTATCGGGTGGCCGTGTGACCCCATCAGCACATATCCACAACGTCGCCGTCTAGAGGCAGCAGCTCCTGTAATCTTGGCTGGAGACATGCTAGAGGTGGAGCATTTTCTTCTAGGTGGTATGCGTTGAACCACGAACCGCAATAGCACCTCTATTCGTGTTAATCCTTGCAACCATGCGTAAACCGCTGCCTTTATGACAAAGACATTCCGCATTGTGCCTTTTCTAATCTCGCTTTTGAGCTTTTCCTTGTTACTGAAAACTTACGCTCGTGAGGCCATGAGAACATCAGTGTTTCAAGATTCGGAGTTATCGATCTCACATGAATAGTCACGAGTCGAAACAGCTCTGATTGAGGTAGTTCTCGCTTCAGTAGCTCTCGCATACGGATGGCAGAGGTCAGCGAAGCTTCTCGCACTACGTTCGAATTTGGAGTGACGCCTCATCGCTGATTTATTCCCGACTTTCAATCGTTTAGTAGTGTGTGAGCTTAACGACACCAGCTACCAAACGGGCCATACTATCCATGGCAACCTCCACTTTTTCGTTGAAGGGGTACAATTCTCGATTTGGCTAGAAATTTGTCGCATGTTCAGATGGTGTAACCTCCTAAAGGCGATGAGAACACTCCCTCGACGTTAAAACGCTTGTTTGGAAGGGCTCGAGTGCCTCAATTTCAAAGTCATAATGTTATAGGGAAAAATTACAAAAAATCAACTATTGCTGATGGGAGGCTTACGGCAATCTACCCTCTGTTACGTGTCACGAAAGAAGCAAAGAAAATTGCGCGAGCGGATTTGATCACCCGATCTCAGTCCTACAAATGCGCATCTTGAACCGTCAGGCTGTCGCCCCTCTTCCGCCACAAAAACCTTCGTAATTTTAATCACAGTGTCGATCAGCAGATGAGGAAGACAGATTTGAAATTGACGCCAAGAAACCCACCAGGAGGCCTCCATCGCTTGCTGGAAGAGCAGAGGAGAACGGTCTGCCGAATGCTGCCTACATTTCGTGTAGCTCGTAGTAGCGTACACTACCAAATTCAGTTTGCAATTGCTGTTCCTGTCAGACGTAAATAACCATGTAGTCACAGGTGTCGTCAGTTTTTAAAGGCACAGAAAGCCATACATAACATTCTCGCTCGAATCTTGTAAAGAAACTTTTTAGGTGACATTGGTGGGAACATGGGTATGTTTCTGGGCATGAGCCTTCTTACGCTGATTGAAGTGCTTCTGTACTGCTCAAAAGTCGGTTGGATAACATTCTCGAAGAAAAGAAGGGACTACATGTACCGCAAGAGGGCACAGGAAAAGGTGAACACTTCGAGCATTTATCCAAGTTTTGAGTTGGATAGTAACTTGATTCGTCGTTTTTGAAGTAGACCATGCGAAGTATTTATATCCCACTTTAATTTCCGAAGCGATATTTCGAATTTCAGGAGCATGAGAAACAGTTGGAAGAGACTGTGACCAGCTTCAAGATGTTTCGAAGTCGCAAGACAGGGGCGAAAGGAAAAATTGCCCCATTGGACTATTTTGATTCCTCACCTACGGTAGGTACAACTCGATCCTACTTTTCTTTATATACAATAAGGGGCCCACAAAAGGCTACTGTTTAGAATTCAAGTGAAGTTTTCAAATGGGATT